AGCCTCCCAAGTATTTCACACAATTGAATTTGTATAAACTGAGTGACAAAAATAAACTTGAATCTGTTGTTATGGTAAGGAATTCCTCTCAATGTGACACAAAAGAAAATGAAATCATTATTTGTATTCACTTTAGTTTGTTGGTACAAAATTATTCTTTGATCATTCTTTCTATGTACTAACGTGTCAGAATCAAAGCTGTCTTAACAATAGAACTGTTATCCCTTTGTTGTTAAATAGCCTTCTTAATATGGACAAAGGCATCTGATTGTCAACTGGTGTCGGTCCATCCAGATCCCCTAACATGGGCACTAACATGATTAGACATAAATAGCTTCTGTCTCAATAGACTGTGTAACTAGACACTTATAAGGCAACCATGTGAATAGTTCACGTGCCGCAGACAAGAGCCACTATAGAATACAAATTGCACTGATAAATCAATATTTAAGGTAGACAGTACTGTTTTACACACACGCTTTGTGTTTTGGTAATACATCGGTGATGTTTCACGCCTCATTTGTTGGTTTATTTGCTGTGTGAACATCAGGGCAGGCTCGTGATCGGCCTTTAAAATCCAAAGAGCAGCAAGGAAAATCAGGAATGACAATGTTGTTTGCTTCTTAATAACAATTGTAGAAAAGCACCAACCTAAGTGCAGAACAAAATTGTCGGCATCAAGCCAAACACTACCCAGGAGCCTTCACTATATTCTTAAAGCGAATATTATGAGAAATGTATATAAGATTGTTCAAACAAAATGGAAAATTGACAGACGACTGCTCTGACAAATACAGATTTTTATTACGTGAGCGCACATTCCACACAAAGTTATCATGTAGAAATATGCAAAGGGGAGAGAGGAGGATTCGAAGTCCTGAGGGTATTTTAAATATAAATAAATGTACACAATGTACAGTATACAAACTGGATCTAGTACATTGCTGTTAAAGAATGAGTAGTCTAGTAAAACTATGTTGACTCATGGACAGGTTCTGCTTTGTGCACACACACATTTTCTGGCCAGCTAATTAAACATCAGCCTCTCAGTAAGAAGACCTGTAAACTGGCTTTGGCACTTCAGGGATAAGATTTAGTCTGAAACAAACACAAAGTTGATATTTCGAGTATGTGGCCTCTATAGAAAATATAAGTAATTTGGATACATTTACACAAATTCTGTATACATGGGCACCAAAAGTAGTTACAAACTGTATTTACAACGATGCAAGAGATGGTAGAAAAATACATAAACGTTTAGCTACAGTTTTCGACTGAATCTTGCAAAGTCGTTCCGTCGGTTCTATCGGCGGCTTCCAAATCAGCTTCCAGTTTTCCACAGATGACCGTGAGATATCCAAAAATAACATTCTGGATCTTCTCTTGTTATAAGTTACTCCACTCCTTTCATGAATTCCAAGAACTCTGTCAAATTAAGGAAGACATGGTTAGAAAATGCAGATGAGTTTATCAAGCAAATGTGTTTTTCTGTATGTACTAGTGGAATGAGAAGAGAGCGTCTATCTCTTCTACTATGAGACATTTTAAACTCCTAACCGTCGTAGTCGATTTTGCCGTCGTTGTTCTTGTCCCCGTCCTTCATCAGCTCCTCGATGTCATCCTCAGTAATTGGCTCTCCTGTAGATTCCAGCATCATTGTCAGCTCGTCCAGGTCAATGTAACCATCTGCGTTTCTGTACAATCAAAGCAGTGAGATGTACTAATGCACATCACTTAACCTAAGTTAGGCTTCACAGATGGCAGTGGAGGAGTAGTGTTATTTGTGTGACATGTCACTGATCATATCTTGCATTCAAGTGTTTGGAAACCATCATTGTGTGAGAAAAAAAGTGTGTTCTTTGATGCTCAGACGAGGTGTCTGGCTTACATAGAGTGGGTGTTTGAAATATTCTGTGCCGTCAAAAAGGATTACAGAGAAAACTGCATGCTGTACTATGCAGAGCAACTTGGCATTTTGTCAGTACACATAATTGCACATGGAGAGCCAACTTTTCTGGAAACACTCCATGAAGAATTTGCTTACTGGTGTAAGATGATTTCCCCATGATAGCATCCTCTCGTTTTTTTTCTTTAATGGGACAAACTAGCAAGAGTGTTTAAACACACAACTCACTTGTCAAACATGCGAAACAGCTCTGCCAGTTCTTCTTCTGACTTCCCTTTGCTGTCGTCCTTCATGCACCTCACCATCATGACCAGGAACTCATCAAAGTCCACCGTGCCGCTCGCTGGACACACAGAAAATACACTCCATCACATCCTCAAAGTCCACCCTGGGTAGACTTTTGTCTCATGTAACAACCAGAATTCCAATGTTTTCCTTAGAGGCCCAATATATAAGCATACCAAGTAAACAGATATTTAAAACACAGAACTGGAACCTTCAACAACTCATACATTCATCGTATGGTCTTTTAATATAAAGTATGAAGATTGTACCTTAACATTTATTTACTATTTGTTATATGGCACCATATGATACATAGATATGGTACTATATATATATAACTGCAGTTAATATGGTCCAAAAACACATATTAGGCTTTTAAATGTCCCCTAATGTGGCCTGAGTTACACTATATTACAACATGACATACACATTGAAGCTTTACAAAGGAAATCTAAGATGCTATTCTTTTGCTTTGATCATCACAACACATGGAACATTAAAGATGACTTGTGCATCATCCAATACACATTCCCTTTTAACTCGGTCTGACAGATCTTGTTGCAGCAAGACCCTCGACAATCATCTGACATTAGGTTCAGAGGGGTTGCACTGCACATGTCTGCACCACATGATTATGCCATGATTGACTTGCTAGTTGGTCCTTGGAGATGAAGAGGTCAACAACAATCAACCAATCATTTGGTATGTTGTACTTTAGCGCAGCTGTGCTTTGATTTACCATCTTCATCCACCTCGTCAATCATCTCCTGCAGCTCCTCTGGTGTAGGGTTCTGGCCTAGCATCCTCATCACCTTCCCTAGCTCCTTAGTGCTGATGCAACCGTCCTCTGCATCTTGCACGAAGATGTCGAAGGCGGCTTTGAACTCTGTAACAGCAGCACACAGGAAATTAACTAATACACTAATACATATGTTATGGTCCTGGATAGGGTGAGCCACACTTTGTGACTAGCGTTTAGTGTTGTACAAAATGTATAGATGATTAAAATCATATACAGAGAAAAAAAACACGAGTTTCTGAAATAAAAACAGAGACTGAATACATGTGAACACTTTTAAGAATTTGTAATTTACGCACCATTTTTCTGTTCGTCTGTCAGCTGCTCAACCTGCAACAAGTCAAACGTTTAAATAGTTAATGCTTTAGTTACCTGATTATTGCCGTTAGTGGGCATTTATCTTACATCATATTATATTTCTAATGCTCAAAAAAGCCATAGAAAAAAATGCATTACGGAAATGAGTTAAGATATCTTCTCCTTATCTGTTCTGATAACTTTTCTATCAACAAAGGTAACATTCCCACACGCTGGGCCATCCTTGACAAAACACAGAACCTATACATCATGTATGAGAGCCAGTTAGAGGAGGAGGTAAAAATAAACAGACAGGATCAGGAACCACCGATAAGGACACAATACACAGCGCTTTAAATTAGCATAGCTGTGGATCTGGCCCAACAATGGAAAAGTAATCCTGGCAAAGCTACCACGAATGAGAGAGGGAGACAGCTGCTTATATAAGAGTTATTGTCTGTCGTCCACAATAAATTAAACACAAACACATGCATACGCACTAACTCACACACACACACAGCCGCACACACTCCTCTGGTATTGATGTATTAAGAGTCATCTAAACAAACACTAATGTACATTCCTGTGTGGGTTTTCACTGTCTCAGATGCACTGCTCATTTGGGATGTGAGTGGACGGGACAGCCGGTGGACCATGGTGGCGGAGGAGGACAGAGACAGCCACACAGCTTCGGGCTCATAGATAATGCTGGAATTCAGCCGTGGGGGGTTTATCTAAACCTGAAGCCCTTCTCTGGCACCACAGAACCAGGGATGTATGAGCAACTGGCCAAAATTAGCCATGTGAAGTGGGACTGCTCCATTTGAAGTCATGAATGAAGCAGCACAAAGTAGAGCGGGGTCCTGTCCTGTCAGTGACCTCCTGAGTGGCTCCTATCAACTCTGATAGGGCTGAAGTAGGAGAACATCTAGAGACGTATATGGTGTCAAAGGCTTTTTTGACCTCAGCTGGTGATGGACGCGTTGTGCTGCGCATGCCGCATCAACAGGGATTTGTCAACCATTTAAGTAATGTCAGATGTCAGATAAACCAACTGATGCTGGACTTTGTTATACGACAAACTAACAAGTGCCCCAATATCCGATATAACGACCTCTTAAATAGGAAAAAGTCCAGTCTTAACATTATAAATCACTGAGCGTGTGTCACAAACTAATAATAAATGACAGGGATTATGGTTTGTTATCCAAAACAACATCACCCTCATACCAGATTTAGTACACAAACAGATTTTTGTTGAGCGTCCAACAAACTAAAATCACTTCATCGGAGCCAAGTGCACACTTGAGCATATGTACGAGTTGTGGGAAGACGTACCGCTGCCTTGTAGATGTCGTTCATGATGGAGGCTCGACTGCTGCCTGTCCTGACGGCGTCCTGGCACAGAGGAAGGAGGTACTGTCCAGCTCAGGGCAGGACACTGGCCCCATCCTGGGAGGGTTTTATAGCCAGAGTCTGGCGCTGTCTGGTCCCTCCCCAGGCGGACCAGCCTTCCCTCTGTTTGTACCTCGGCATGTGTCCACAAATGTGTGTTTGTGTATGTGTGTCATTTTGGCCAATCTGTCACAATCACCGGGCTCAGATAAAAATGCGGCAGCTCTTAGGGGGCATACTTTGGAATGGAATGAATTGAGGGGGGCATGGTGAAGCCTAATCTCCAGAGAGGGGGCTATAGAGACACTCAACATTCCTCTAGACCTGGGCCAGAGACGCAGAGGGCTCAGGAGGTTTGTGTGTGTGTGCGTGGGTATGTGTCTGTAGGGCAGGGGGTGGTGGAGGAGGTGAGAGGCTGAAGGCCAGGATGGGAGACACGCAGCCTTCAGCCAGCAGGCCATGAAGGGAGCAGAGAGAAGGAGGGCAGAACTGTGGAGTCAGAGCAGAGGAAGGTGTGAGTGTGTAATAAATGTGGCTCAGAAAGGTATGTGCACGTGTGTATGTGTAATATAGACTTTTTTCATGGCGGACATTTTGGCTCGTCATAGTAGGAAAAGCATTGGGGTGATTTTGATGATGGTTCCATTCCATGTAAGGCTCCTAGTAAGCCGTGACACTGCACAACACTGGGGCCTTAATCATGACACACCTACATGAATTGCAGCCGTTGTTATTGTCATAGTTACACCTGTGGCTTTATTAATATGACATGTTGAAATGTCTGCTGTGAAATTGGAATATAAGGTGGGACAAATCACCTTTTCTGCAGCTCATTGAGTATTCTCATGTTGTTTGCTGTAGAGAAAGACACAAATATGAGATGTACCAAAATGATGAAACATATTCATATTCTTTCACTTACAAGCTATCTCGAACACAGAGAACCCAGAGCAAGCGAAACCAAACATACCTTTAACATACATTTCAAACCAGAATATATACCTGCGTTTATTTACATCCAATGTTCCTGAAATCATGCACATTAGATTTCGCCTATGAAAAAGACAACTCAGGTAATTCCCACTCTACATGATTCATGAGGGTTTTTCAATCTTAGCCTTCGTGTGCAACACAGATTCAGTCAGCAGAGGGTGCTGTTCACTATATATCGAGTAAATTAAATTGTTGCGCAAGGCTGCCTCAGGATATCCAATTTATCAACAGTGGGGTAGGTGAGAAATCTGGGTCAGAAAAACCAAACACTTGCAGACACATTCAAATTGAATTGTACACAGTGCAAGACTTTGCAGCATTTTTTTTTTCATGTTCTTTTGAAACAAGGCCATCTCAATCACTTGACTGTGTGAATCACACACGTTCACGCACGTGCTCTCACAAAAAAACTCACTTAAGCACACAGGCACACATGCATGAGGGATACACACACACACACACACACACACACACACACACACACACACACACACACACACACACACACACACACACACACACACACACACATACTCACACACACAACGCATGCTGTGGCAGGCAGTCTTAGTGACGAGTGATCATGCTGGTTTATAATGGGATGCTAATGGGGACTGGCACAGCTTACAAGCATCATACAGCTACTCAGAGAGAGCACTCACACTGAACAACATACATGTCCTTCTCTTACAAATACACAGATCTCCTGACAAAGACCTCACATCAGTCACATGCAAAGGTGGAGCCTCCATGGAAATAGACCGGTGGTGAGGTGCAGAGGGGATGCGAGGGGGGGCAAGAGGCAAAATTAGATTTTGTACTAGTTTTCGATGTGTGTTTTCAAAGTCTTTCGTCACAATTTGTGCAATGAAAACATCCAGCACTGTGTACAGGATTGTGTACTTTGCTGTTGGATTTCAAAGCAGAAATTAACCGTCATCAATGGCACCGGCTCCATCAGCTGAAACCCAAAGCATACTGCCGAGTCTACATGGTCAGCCAGACGCATCGGTTTGGAGAACTGAGTGCCGTCTGGTGGGTGCCAGGAGTGATGAGCAGCTCTGCAGGGGGCACTATATTCTAATGTAAAGCTTCCATGAGCGTGCACACACATGCACTCGTGCACACACATTCACTCAGCCACACACACACTGGAGTACCAAAAACTGGCACACACACCAGAGAAAGCATATTGAGTGCTGTTTCCTTGGAGCTCTCCACCAATTTCCTCTTACAGAGGAAGGCTGACGAAAGAGCCAGCCATCTCCTCCACACAGCGCAATCAGACAGCGCATCTCAAATCCACAATTCACCGCACACCGCTTTTTGAGGGGTTGCCATAGAAACTCTGCTGGGTAGAAGCGGGCAGAAAATGAGAGGAGATGAGCGGGGCTATTTCCCCCTCCACCTCCCTCAGCCTTCCTGCCACCACATTTTGTCCTCAGAGTGACTGTATTATATTTCTGTTCCCTTAATCGCATACGTGCTCACATAAAATGTGCATGCATATATGGGGGTCACTATTAGGTTAACAAAAGCTATTTGTGCTTCAGAACCATTCATGCAAATATACTAAATCCACAAGTCCAAGTGATTACATTTCATTTATTAGGCTTGATACTGGAATAAACTGCTTTCATTTATTTCGTACGTGCATCCAACCAGGTTATGTGAAAGGTTTTGAAGTTACACAAGCATGAACTTTGTGTTTATGAATTCTACTCAGCATGATAATAGTTATCTGACTGGCTTGTTAACTGAAAAGCTGAATTCCCATCAACCAAAATCGTTTCCTGCACACAACATTATAGATGTTATATATGTCAAATGCTTGAGGCTAACATCTCCTGCTAGCAGTACTGAATCAGCTGGACTAAATTGGTGAAGATCTACTACTATACACAGCATACATCATGTCAATTTCAATTCTCCTGTGATATAAGGATTGAGTTGACGTGCTGCTGGGCTTGAAGCATACGTAGGTCCTTCTCTCTCTCCTCCTCCATCGCTCTGCGTCCTCACCTCCTTGATTGCCAAAGGGAGGAGGGGAGCAGAGCCTGTCAGCCTTTCTTTCTCTCTATTCTTTCCTCCCGTGCTTTCTCTACGCCTTTCTTCTTCCCTTTCTCAATCTCTTCTCCACTCTCTTCCTCCTTTCATTGATGACCAACCTGTCAGCAGCTCCTGTTGAGGCAGGCTGTGAATGATCTGCATGTGACTGAATGCTACACAGTGTTTTTTCTCCATGAACGCATCTCTGCCGGTCCAGTGAGGGCTCCATCAGAGAAGCCCAATCTCTGATAAGCGACAACCCTCAACCCAAATTGAAGAGGGACAGGGTATTCTTGACTTTGCTTCACTGCGCTCAGTGGTTTCTTTCTGAAACTCTTTGCGCTGAGGCGCTTGGTGTTACGCAGTGTTCCTTACATCAGAGATCTAATGAGCCAGTGGCCACATTAGCTCCAGCGCCAATAGAGCCACGCAGTGACTCTCTGCCAGGGGCCAGAGTTTTCCAGTCCACTGGACCACCATTTCCACCCGAACCCGAGTCCCCCCCTGGCCCTCCAACCTTTATAATAGTGTAGGAGACACCCAGAAAAGATTTATGGCAGAAGAAGTTGCCTTCAAGCAAGATGGAAAATGTGTCTCTTCTATGTGGCAGCAAAAGGAGCAGTCAAGATTCTGTCTGAGATTCATCATCGAACACAATGTTGGAAAAAATGGAAATGTTTTGTGAAATTGGAAAACATTCTGTAAGGTTTCCTTCCATTGGGACTCCGCAGCCAATACTGTATTTTCGACATGTCTGCAAAATGTCACATTCTTAATGCCAAAACATACAAATACAAATATCATCCTGGTGTCACTGGTCTGATGAGATAAAACAGTATTGATTTCTGATTAAGGTAAAAACCAAATGCAAATAATATATTCATAAACAAAGCACATAGCAGTAGCAGTCAGTTCAGAGCATCACTGCACTACAAAAGCACATATGTACATGCACAAAACCACAAACAAAGAAACAAAAGTAAACCAGAAGATGTAAATATCCGAAAACCTGATAATCAAAAATGTATTTGATGGAAAATAAATTGCCAAAATAATATTTTTTATTTTAAAGGAACAGAGCAAGTACAATCATTTTATGCAATCACTTTATTAATAAAAGCTTTGACAAGAATTGCCTGTCTTGGTAAATATTTTCCCTGCCAGCAGACACACACACACACGCAACAACTAACACACACACACACACACACACACACACACACACACACACACACACACACACACACACACACACACACACACACACACACACACACACACACACACACACACACACACACACACACACACACACACACACACACACACACACACATATTTGGGATTTGTCAGCGTCCTTGCCTTCTCCTCTTCCCTTCAAATAGCAGCTCTCTGAAATGGAGTCTGCAGGCCCTCAGGGTTTCTGACAATGTTTCAGACATTCCTGAGTAAAATGAACAGCGGTATAACTTTGGCATTGCTGCGTTTAAAAAGTTTGCTCTTTTAAAAGTATATTGAGAGAAACTGGGTCACAATTACCACCAAAACCTTTTTCAACAGTTATAAAATATATGCAATTAAATGGCAACATCAATATTGTAAATAATCCTTTTTATGAAAAGAATCATTGAATGGTGCATCTATGTGTATTTCAGTTTTTCTCGATTGCTAACACACATTTTTTTTTTAATTGCTCAGTTTCTCAGAACACGAAACACAATTCACAAAACCACACACNTGTCTGTCTCTCCCTGTCCTATACCAAAGTTAGAAGTTAGGCCTCCTGCATTGTGGAACTGGATTCCCAATAGGACATTTTCTGTTACAATGTAGGTTGTTGCAGGAGGCCTAACTTCTAACTTTGGTATAGGACAGGGAGAGACAGACAGACAGACAGACCTTTGTACATGTAGCTGTGGCTGACAATAAATAATGTTATTATGAATACATTTGCCTCCGAATCCTGCCTGAACTGTGCATAGACTGTATCTTAACATTGGTGGTACTCGGAGAGCTACTATTTTCTCAGGTGGCACTTGGTGTAAAAAGGTTGAGAACCCCTGCTTTAGACAATAACAAATATGGATAGTAGTAAATAGTGGCTCAGTTTTTAAAATAAACAATACTATTACTGTATTTCAATATCTCAATTTAATCAAGTTTAATTTAAAAGAAGAAGAGTCACCTACAATGAAGATTGTTATTTCAGATGTTGTCTTTTTAATTGTTTAAAGTAGACAGAACTGGTACTTAAGAGTTTTAATACAGTCTGGTTGTGGAGGCACACAGGTAAGAGCACTAACTAGCTACCATCACATGTTACTAAGCTTCACTTAAATGTATAAAAGGTATAATTAACCTGATGAACCACAGATTCCTGATGAACCACAGATTCCAATGGTATAAGTATCATCACTGAGCGACCAAAACTCGCGGCAGCGAAAGCCAGCAAAGACAACACACAACTCCACTTTACGTAGCCAAAATGGTAAATACGTCTGTTTTCTGATCAAAAGTTGTGTTCAATGGCAATAAACGTATAAAAACGCTGCCGAACAGCCGATCACCCCACCTACACTGCGTTACTATAGTTACTACCCCAGTTCCTAAACTGTAATGGAAACGCAGCATAAAGTGAGCCTGGCCTAACCATACCGTACTAAGCCGTGCTAGGTCCTGCAGTGGAAAAGCGTTACACGGCCAGGTACGGCTCGAGAAGTTGACGCAGATATGGAAATATATGATACATTATGCGCGTTCGTGTGTGTAGGAGGAGGGGCTCTATAAGGAAGTCTGAAGGAAGGGGCCTATTTTTTTTGGTTGTCTACTTTCAAATTCTGGCGCATTAGAGCTGGTTTCTCCATTCTTACCCACCCTACCTTTAACAATAATGTTATAATAGTCAGATTGCTCTGAAGATGGGAGGTGATATTCTACTCATGTTCACGTTCACAGTCGGTGATTTTTGCCGGCCGTCTTTCCTGCAACGGCAATTTAAACTGTATTTCCTTTCTCCTGTGAATTGATCGCTTTAAACTCCGCACACTGAGCTCTGATTGGTCAGCAGGCGGTGCTTTCACTGAGTTGATCTCATAGCCTGCAACCTAACCTGCTCCGGGGCAGGTTAGCCGCACAGCATAAGTTACCATGGAGATCTAGCTCGCTAAAAAGAGAATCAGCGTCGTAGGACCGGAAACCCAGAGTTTTCCCTGAAGTTAGCTCGCTAAGCGAAAATCCTGCTTCGTAGTACAGGCCTCTGGACTCATAATAACAATGCATATCCAACATGTTCTGTATCACTCGGTGGGTATATTTGACCATGCAAACACACACAACACATTAACATGGACATACACACTTACCACATGTAGAGATCTGCGAGGAACCTTTAGCATGCAGGAGATATCATCCACAATCATATCAACATTTCTCTGTGAACCAAACAGCTGTGTATCGTTGTAATAGATGTCTCTGTGGAATACAAAAATGTTCATCTTCAAACTGAGGAGTAACCCAGCAAAACAAAACCTCTTAGCAAGAAAAGTGTGAACTGATGACAAATACCTTTTGGTTGCATAGGAGTTGCTCTGCACAAGTTTGTAGATGACCATGAAAATCTTCATGATTTGTGCTTTGAACAGGAAAAATAAAACAAATCAGTTATTATGAATACTTGATCCAGTTATCACATCTTTAAAAAGTACTGGAGGAAAATGCTGTTCCTAATTAGGATATCCATGTGGTAAACTGATCCCTAAAAGCCTTTTTCAACATATACTGTCTCTTCCAATTTGTTACCCTAAACTAAGTCAGACTTTTAGTGCCGTATGTGCAGTTCGTGCATGTGTTCACAATGAATAGAAATGAAAGCCACATGAAGTACAGTACAACTTTTTTTGACTGAAAGGAATTTCGGTTGTCATGAGCAGAAAGATAACAGCAGAGGTGCGAGTATCTTCTTACCAAATTTATCCACAGACACCGGACAGTCGCTCCTAACGGTGGTGACAGAACTTCCTAAATTCATTTGAAGCCCGATGGAACTGTCAAAACTTAAGTGGGAAGTAATGAAAGAAAAACAGATTGAAATTTAAGTGGAAGGGTAGTAAAGAAAGGAAGCCATCATTTGCTTTTTAGCTTTGAAAATCAGCCCCCCACATGTAAGCCATCTGAAATTCCCCACAGCCTCAGGGCTACCTGAGTCCTGATTCCTGTGTGAAACCTTTGGTGCTCAGTCTGTGGGATTCTCACATTTGAAAGGGCTGAGCCATAGTGTGCTTCAAGCTGTGGCAAGGTTTGATCCAAACAAGACCAGACAGTCTTCTTTGTTGTGAGCGTAAGGTCTCTGCAGACTAGTCGCATTAAAGCGCTTTGTATATTTGAGTTTGTGTGGGTGTGTGTAAGACAGTGATTTAAAATACCTATCATTCTGTCATCTTCTATGCAGCAGGAAGTTATTTTAACTTCAATCTCTCTGAACCACAGTTGAAAGTTACTTTTTTCCTGCCACCTGGTTATTAAGATTCCTAACTTCACCCTTAATGCAAATAGAGAGCCGTGTTGGATTAAACACTAATGTGATCATCTTGTGTGGCCTGACCTACAAAACCTATGTAGGTAAATGTTTATGTATTTATTTACACAACACGACTGTTTGTGTTTATCTTTAAAAGGTCAGATGGATTAAACGGATCTCCACAAACTCGGTGTTTCAAATGACTGCAGTGTTCAGGGTGGGCTCTTCATGCTATTGCTCCAGCGTGTTCAAATAAAGTTACCTGGTGTTGTCCCAGTTGGATCTGTCGGGCAGTGCCAGGACAGGGGCCTCATCTCTGGAAAGACTTGTCACTATTCCAAGGATAACGTTTTCAATGCGGTTCAATATTTCCCCGCTGGAAAAGAAGATACAGTGCTTTGAATATAGGCTGGCAAAAACCTAACAAAGGGGATCTGAATTTTTTCAAATAATACTTCAGATCCACCAACAATATCTATATATGTTGGAGAGTATTGAACATTAAGGAAGTGCCTGATAGGTCAAGGGTCTTACAATATTGCCCTGTACATTCATTTGTAATATTGTCAACAAGTCTTATATTTGAGATATAAACGTGATAAAGACTGCAGTATATTACAGTACTGTTGAAAACATTATATAGCCTACTTCTGTGAAGATTTTGAATTTTCCCCTGTGTAAGTCTTATCTTATAACAAAATATGTAATAAAAAGTGGATTGAAAACAACAAAAATTGCGTCTGAATTGTACTGGAGTATAAGAAAGTGGAAATACTCAGGCAAAATCCCTCAAAATGTAACCACTTAAGTAAGTCTTAAGTGGTTAATTGTTACTTTAGTGTAATGTAGTTACTTTCCACTACTCCTTGCTGTGTAAGATACCTGTTATGTTCCAAATAAAGATTATTCGGGCGAATTAATTATGTCTTAAGACTGTCAAATCAACCAAATCTTACTCTACACATGTTCGTAAGACATAACTAGATAGTGAGGGACATAGATATAAATTAGCTAACCAGCTGTCATCAGTGTGGTGACGTAATTACAGTGCATAGTAAAATCTAACTTTAGCTAAATTGCACTTTGACAAACTAATCAATCATTTACCAAGGTACATTATAATTAAGAAATTAAAATACCAGATACCAGACCGTTGCATTGCTGATGGAGAACCACTATAGCACCTGCTACACCACACTGGGAACCAACATAGAAACTAGCTAAACCAATTTGATATAATGCTAACTTACGGGCTAATTTCTTTTTCGACACGCTGGCAGTCTGTTATGACTTCGACTTTCTTTAGCAGTTCAGCACGGAGCTTGTCAATTTCTGAAAATAACTCGGCACAACGGGATCCCATTTTGAATTATCACTGACATCCGACTGTAAATTAATTTAATAAAAGCCAGGACGTTCCCGCGTAAGGGTTTTGCGGACACCTCGCGCGATTTGGGAAGCTGGCTGATTGGCTGAATTTAAATCCGGAAGTATTCACCTTGAAAAATTGTTTGTTTTGAATATGGACCATGGATGTAACATGGACCCAAGAAACTAAATAACAATTAGGATAACTCCAGTTTCGCCATATTACATTTTGCACGGTAAGAATATATTCAAAGCATTCTTTTCTAATGTACTTTATATTAACTGTTACTGAATGGGGTTCAATTGGGGAAATCGTTGTGTACATATTAGCCCGAAGTGTGTGCACCTCGTAAGTTATATAAAGCAGTTAAAGTAGTTGTTTGTACACTTATCTTTTTTTTTTTAAACATTCAAGTATTTCCAATCAGCCATGTGTCTTTAGTTTGTAGCGGCAACTCCATAATTAAGGATACATTAAATCATATTTTCTCTTTTGTAATTTATTTTCTAATGCACTTGGTAGGTCAGTAGGGCTCTGACTGCACTTGTGTTGATCCCAAATAGTCTATAGACTGTGTGTATATATATATATATAAAGGTTGATGAAGCTCTGTTGCTCTGTGTAGCTGCAGGTACTTCCACCTGGTAAATAAGAGTACATGGTCATTATTTCCATCACACAACTACTGATTAGCATGATTAACTTGTGTTGCCACTTAGATGTTGTTTTTGTTGTTGTTGTTCTAGTCTTTAATAAAATACCACTAACTCTGTCACAATTACTGATGTCCTTACAGGCCCATTGCCTGGAAAAGTCGGCAAGCAGCTACCAGTCTTCGTTTTCAAGCGAAAGGTCCTTGCACATTTCCAAGCTTTGTCCATCAATAACATCCAGGAATGTAGTGTGTGGGCCAGTTAGCACCCCATTGGTGTAAGGTACTAGGTACTAGGCCTGGTGGTGTTAAGTAAAATCGCCATTAGCCCCCTCTGTAACACTCAGTAATGAGACCCTTTATGTGAGCGTGCTGCTACTTGTCCAACATTTTGTCTACTGTATGTGTTTCTGTTTGTGTGGGTGGTGGTTTCCAGTAGGGTGGGTCGGGGATAATTGACTGTGGTTAGAGTCCAAGAGAATCCTAATATATATTGTATCTGTCAGCCATGTGGAAGTGATTTCTAGATATCATTTTGATCCTGGTTGTGTGTAATGATAATGCTGGCCAACATGTGTTTTAGGGCTATACATGTTGCTTACTCTGTTTTAAGGCAGTTCAGCAGTTCATGAATCAGACACTTATTGAGTAAGTATGGCTCTTTTAAGCTCCAAACATTAAAATTGCATTACTGAATATTAAGCCTTGAGAAAATCCCACATATATATTTTTCCACGACCTTTCAAAATCTGTTTCATTCTCTTTTTTTGCATCATGTTGCAGTCATGTCACGGTATTGTAAAAACAGAGAAATGTGCTTAGATTCTAAAACTATTAGGTCACACACAGTCCCCACCTTCAACAATTGCTGGCAGGCACGCTGTGTGTGTTTGCGGAGGCACTGCGGTCTTTCTCTCACAGTGTGAAGGCCTGATCAGAGTGTGTGGGAGCCGGGATCTAAAGAAAAGAGGTCTGTGCCCCTGACCTGACCCTGAATATTTCCTAATGTGCAGCTTTACCAAAGGTCCCCCTTTCCCCTGAGTGGCTTTGACAAGCTGCTTCCGTAGTAATGGCTCTTAATTTCAGAGTAATTGCTATCTCTAGGTGATGATGGACAACCCCTCACCCAAGCTGAAAAAATCTTAACATGTGGAAGACCACAGGTTGTAAGGGTCCTTTTTTCTTCTGTTCTAGAAAGGCTGAGACCCCTGCTGTTCTTTTGGCCCGGGAGAGATTTGTGTCGAGTGTGAGGCCCTAACCTGAGGAGACAGAGTGCAACGAGTCATGTGCATGTCTTGGGATGAGTGTTTGTACTGGGCAGGAGGGGGGACACATGGGGGAAGTAAGGGGCTGCAGGGTCACAGGAAAGAAAGTGGGGGCACTCGCTGCAGGTGAGGGGGATTAGCCGCAGCTAGAGGCCCAAAGAAACTAAATACAGATCTGTCAACCTAATCCTCACAAATAGAAAACAGAGCTGCCCTCCCTTCACAATCCACATAGTTTAGCACATCCACCTCCTGCTCCTTTGCCCCCCCCCCCACACTTTCTTTCTACCTCAGGCTCTGCTGCTCCTCTGTTTCTCATCAGCTTTTGGCCTGAACTAGTCTGGCTATGCCGCCTCCTCTCTAATGGCTCCTCAGAACAGCATCCCCTAAAGAGGAGCTGACTGAGCACCCAGGGTCCCCTCTGATTGACAGACTAACACAGCCTTACAGAGTGATGAGAGCAAGAGTCAAAGGGGCAGGGCCTCTCTCTACAGAGACAACAATCTCAATAGGACCTCTGCCGTGAGCTGCATGGACCTGAGGAGACCTTTATCAGGCCCTCACACCTCAGTAATGGATGCTGATAAGTATGTGGCTAGCTAGGTGAAGACACCAGCTCAGCGTCAAGCCCGGACTCTGTGCCGATGACACAAGTGACAGAGTGCCTGAGTGATAACATCCTGCAATGGATAAGCTCTACTAAGCCAGGCATTTTGGAAAGCTTTGCTAAAACGGTATCTCAGGGACACCAGCTATAACTGATGGGTCTGGCTGGACTGCTGAGAGCTATGAATCAGACCCGAGCTACTCTGGTGTTCCCCTGCACCATATCTGGCTGCAGACAGAAGCAGTAGTGACAGGATATGCCGGATACAGGCGAAAGTAGGTACTGAGTGACGATGGGAAGGAGGATTGCAATGTGCAGGATTTTCAAATACAATCATCATGTGTTCCTCATAGAGTCTCTGAATGCTTTTTGGACATGTGATGCTGTAATGAAACTGAATCTTTCAAATAATATGCAGATATTAAAAATGAGGTACGGATTTGCACCAGTTAACATTCTGTTAAATATTTGTAATGTGCTTATTATACAAAAGCTTAGCCAATATTATATTTCAAATAGTTTTTAACCTGCATGGAAATGAGTCTTTTAGCTTAATAAATAGTCTAAATGGCCAAACGTTTAGGTCCTAGACATGAAGTGGAGTTTCATTTGAATAATGCAAAACGTAATAGTTTTTATAAGAGGAATGCACTAGGATTCAATAATTCGATACTGAATCCAGAATGTTAAAAATTCCTTTTAACCCAAACCCTAAGTTGGTTTTACCAAGTGAACTATTTTGAAGCTGTTTCATATACCAACCCCCTCTTTTTCTTCTGCCTGTCTCACAGCTGTGTCTCATATGTTCATGAGGCCCCTGGAAGTGTGAGACACCAGAAGGGAACATTTGCAATAGCTCAGCTCCACCTGGTTTGGCTGTTTTAACAGGCCGATGGTTTGTGCAGTGCACGCAGTGGGGTTACGCCAAAAACGTAGAAAAGGGCGGACAGGACAGGCAGACCGGGAAAGGAAAAAATGTGCCTCCACCCTCTCTAGTCCTTGCACCCCGACCCCACACTTGCCTTATTTGAGGGTCAGTTTACATTGAAAGAAGTTTTACTGTATCGTCTGCTCGGTCAGACCCCCCTCCACCAAACTTCATCCGCCTCCCCGCATGCACAGGTCTTCAAAGGACTGCTGCCTGCTGCTCTCTTGAGGCAACGCATGAAATAAATATTAATCTGACCGCATGCTTTTGAGCTCCTAAAAAGAGATAAGCAGACATATGGGAAAGGCAACTGTTACCATAGATAAAAAGGAAGAGAAAGAGGGAGAAGTATAATGTGAGGAGGAAAAGTGTTTTCTTGTGTTCTTGTAGGGTTTTAAAGAGTTTCCATGTTTCACTGCATTACTGTGTGGTCTTCTTTGGAGCTTAGTATCATGCTCCAACCTGTTGGAGTGGGGAGGTGTGTATTTGTGCAGATTGTCTAAGATCATAGTAGGAAGAGTGTGTGCACTCAAAATGCCTTATGCCCAGAGACTGATTTTGAGCTAGATGCAATTTGAGATTGATAACTGCCTAAATAGAGAACAGGAAGATGCAACTGACCATAAATATGAGAAATAAAGATATTTATGAGCTCACCTTCGTAAGCCCTAAAATAATAAGACTTCATAGTCATGGTTGTTCAACAGCTCACCACTGTTCTGCCCTCGAGTGATTCATACTGGCTCTCCTGGCAAAAATGCATCCACTTTTCTTCAATAGCCATGAAGGCAGGTAGTATTGTGAAATATTGACTACGTGATCATTTTAAATGTAACAGTTTGCTACTCTTGATGTCTTAATAGGGAATTGGTTGTTAGCATCTCAGACAAAAGTGTGAAATACATTTAGAAAAATGTTTTTATTCTTTTGCCAGTTTTTTCTTAGTATGTGTCATTGACGGAGGTTCAAACACTATTTGTTCTGCTTTTCTGCTTTAGTTCTCCTTGTCAAAGGCCCCTCAGTGCAGCTCACCCAGCCTGGCCTCAGCCTGTGCCCACTGTTTACTGCGACTGTCATCGGGCCCATGGAGGCCCAAACAAAGGGGGGTCTGTTCCTATTATCCTACCCAGAATTGTCAGCCCCTCTCTGGGCACAGACTGAGCAAAGGGCTGGGGGTTGTTGGAGGAAAACCGGGGGGTTTGACCTCGCCAACCTTACAGCGAGGGTGAGAGGGCAAGAGAATAAGTGTAAGACAATGATAGAGGGGAAAGAAAGTGAGAGAGACAGGAAGATGTATAGTTATAACTGAAACCAAGACCCTTTCAAGTCCCCTGTTGGAAACTGCTGTAATGTAAACACCTGCGGCCATTAGCTGATTCTATCTGAGGCACCGGATAGAAATGTTTATATGTTACAGGCTACTACTGAAAGGCCATTTAAAAGCAAATAGTGGATTATATATACAGAATGAGTAGTGGCAGGCTGTGTATGCTTTCAGGCTTTAAGCCATGTTGAATTGTCATTGGAAAAAGATAAGTGAAATGCTTTTTGTAGACAAGAACGACCACATTAAATGGGCAGGAAGGTGAGCTAAGTGTAGAAGACCCCAAGACACGCTCTGCCTCCTTTCCTCCCTTCCTCTGTTTGCAATCATAGCTTAAGCCGTCTGGCAGCATCTCGTGCTGTGCCATTGAAGTCCAATTTTATTGCCATAAAAATCACCTGGCAAGCTATAGCCCTAAAACATCTTAACTGCAGAGCCTTTAAAACTCCACTCTGGGTAGTGAACAGGTTTTAGGAGGTCTGTCTAGATAAAGCATTGGTTCCTGGTGCATCTGAAATCCCCCGGCCTGTATCAGCGAGCGCACAAGAGGGTCAAGAGCGTTCCATTAAAGTTTGGTGTTTAAGAGGTGCTGGGGCCAGGGGGGGCCGATGGAGGGATGAAGCAGCTGCCAAACATCTGCACCCCACCTTCGCAGTCTGCTTTGTGTCTGTGCACCGCTGCCTTTGTCACAAACTTCCTGCACCAGCAGTGGGGATAGAAAGCTTGGATATTTTCAAATATGTGGCATGAGATGTTGAGCTCTACTGCTTCTTTCTTTGATACAAAATACAAAGACCACTGACTTGTTTTAAGTCTCACAACCATAAGAACCTAGGTATTCACTCGGGTGCACCTGTGGATCGCAGAGTAACTATTACAGCTGTGCAATTTCATGTTGCATCCTCTCCCAAAGTATTGTAGTCACCCACACAGGCAAATAATTACTCTTTGAAATGATGTCTGTTATTTTCCATAAGCACACTATCACTAAGGGGCCTATTGTAACCGGCTGGACAACTGTAATTATTGATTCAACAAGAGCATTGAGGTGCGCCAGGTACATGTGCTTCATCATACACTTAAGCATTATAACACGAATCCCGTTTTAATCCGTTTTGTATTTGCGCTTGTAGCCTAAAGCCTTCTCCAACTTGTTACAAAGGCCAAAATTCGCTCTATCCCCATTAGAAACCACAGTCCCCCCCCCTCTCCCCCTTTCTCTCCCTCTCTCTCTCCTGCTCCTCCCAGCACACAGCGCCTCCTCACAACTTGCTCGTGTCTCTCACGGTGAAACGCTTGTGCTCGCAGCCTCCTCTACTCTGCAGAACAGGTTGCACCACAGTTGGTAGTTGTTGGCCACTGGCTGCGGATGAGGACAGAGGTCCGCGTGAGCTCACTCTGCCCAGAAAACCAATCATCTAAAGGACTTTGAAGTGAAGTTGATGTTTCGTTTGGGCGCACTTCCCTCAACATGAGGGTCCGTACCTGACTTTGGATATTGGACACAGCCGCTGCCTGTTGCTACAAGTTCAATATCAACTTTCCAGAGTTTCGGCGAACATAACTGGGCGCAATTACGCACGGCGAGTACCATGGCACCGATTTTGGACAGACGTGCCCCGGCTTTGCTCTTGGTTTGGAGCTACTGCGTTCTGGCGGACACCGCTTTTACGAACTTTACTTTAGACAACGAGTTCCACTCCAGTTTCATCCACCGTCGACTGAAGAGCCAGGAGCGCAGGGAGATGCAGCGGGAGATCCTGTCGATCCTGGGGCTGCCGCACCGGCCGCGACCCCACCTCCACGGAAAGCACAACGCTGCCCCGATGTTTATGTTGGACTTGTACAACGCCATGTCCACGGAGGGGGACGAGGACAGATACTCCTATCCCTACAAGCCCGTCTTCACCACCCAGGGACCCCCGATACCCAGCCTACAAGACAACAACTTCTTGAACGACGCAGACATGGTCATGAGCTTTGTCAATATGGGTAGGCACCTTTACTATGTTAGACTAAAAACGATTATAAACATATTTTAATGATGGCAAAGGTTCAGGCCACTCAAGTCATTTTTGTGCATCATTAAAGTCCAGTCAGTCTCAATTATCTCAAGCACAGTATACTAATAATAGTTTTGTGATTTAAAAAAAAAGTACCATATATTCAGGGGTTTCTTTCAGAGACATTTGAGTTCCGTAAAACTGAAATTGGATTAACTTTCTTGAAGACTAACATTTTTCACAAATCTTGGGGCTTAATTTTCTATGGCAATTGATTATCTTTATGTCTAGGTTATATATTAAAGTATTTCTCTGGACTTGTTGCTACAAACTGCTTTTTGTGATTGTTTCAGTCAAAGCTGATAGTAAATCTGGATTATGTGTTTTTACTTCGCCTTAAGCAGCAGCACATTTTTTTCACCACACATTGTTCTGATACCTACATGCACACACAGGAGACCTGCACAACAACCATATTTACATACAACTGGGTGCAGTTATCCAGATAATACCAGGAGTGTCACATTCCAGTGTCCGTCTCTGTTAAACAGCTGTGCAACAACCAGATAATGTTCAGGTGCTGGAGCTGTGGATGATGGACCAGCCAGCAGCTAATATGTCAACCATGTGTTATCTAAAGAATGAGTAAGTCAACAGCAGAATGGGTTCAAAGTGCACTGGGTCCTCCCTTCCCTCTAATCTGGAGACATCCCTTCAGACAACAACATTATTCCAGTCAATAATGATCAAAGTTAGCTTAGTTAGTTAGTTCCAGTTCCTTCACAGTGATTTATTGTGTTGGTCGCTTTGTTCAGTTCTTGGTTGATACATGTTTCTTTTTTCCCTTGACACGTTTACTATTTATGAAAAGATGAACGCATCATATATTAATTTGCTCTAGAAATGATGGAGTCACATCAACTGCCCCACTTATGTTTCAGATGAGTTGCTGTGTTTAATCTTTGTATATATTTTTGCTTTTTCTCTACGAAAGGCAGGGAAGATAAGATAACAAATTCTGAGCAGGCATTCACTGGTTACACCTCTGCTCCAAATTTACTTTGAGTTCTGAAAGTAGTTGCAAGTTAGCATTCAATCCTGGAAAGATCATTGTTGGAGTGTCTTGGCAATAGACACTGTGTAATTACGTTGGGAGCTGCTGCATTGTGACTATTTTTGACAGGCTTTGACACAGATGGATTTGACCACAGAGACTTGCAAAGTCGAGGGCCGAGGCTGCAGTAAGCTGAAAAGGAATCATTTCGATTTTTCAGAGAGAAAGAGACAAGAGATGGTTGGGACTCGGTCCATTTCTTTTGATTGGGTGATGGGTCACAGCGGCTAGAGAGAACATTTTATTTAATATATTAGAGAATCATGGAAAGAAAGTCACACTGGTCTTGTGGCTGATGTGATTTGGTAATGGCTTTTATCCAAGGCTGAATCTGCCTCATGGCACACACATATTTCACTCATTTAGATATAAAGTGGCCATTTGTCCTTGTGTGTGCTATCTGCCACGTGTTGCATCTGCTAATAGAGTTCAGGGTTAGCTTTCTCGCCAAGTCTCGTGCATTGACATTAGATATTTGTCAAGCCAGCTTGATTCAAAACAGCACATAGTAGTTGCTTCATTACCCCTCATCTGTGAGAGAGAGAGACAGAGAAGTAAGTGATGGCTATCGAATGGATTGAGTACTTCCTCTCCAAATTCCTTACTTTCCACATTTGCTCGTTGTGGGTTTGTTTTCTTATTTAGGTTGTCTGGGAGCAAAATGAGTGTGGCTTTTCTTTAAAACTGTCCCTCCAAGTTCTGCATGTCTCTATAACAACCATGCCAAGGTATATTAGTCAAACTTTGCACACTGGTTGCTGCTTAGAGGGGCCTGGTTATTATGACAAGATCACATTTTTACAACGATCAAAGAACATCCCCCAGAGCATTATTCTTAATATGATCTCTTCCTTTCTGATTGCCACACAGGGGAGCTGCCTCACTTTGTCGTCATCTTATGTGAGTGTTGCAGACTCCGGTGCAGCCAGCCAGGGCGGGTGTGGGCTTAGTGACAGACCCCAGGCCAGGGACGTCCTCTCACTGAGTCACTTCAGTTTACAAGCCCAGCTGTGTAAATGGCTTACAGCATACATTCAGAATGTAAACCGCTATATGAAACACAGGTCACACAGGCACTGGGCGTGTGCTGGACATGCAATGATAACACGCCAACAAGTGAAGGAAACACGTACATTCACTGTGTCTTAAGACGGCCACAAGAAAATGGTATGAAAAAGATTATAAATGAAATCGCAAAACATGTATGAAACAATGTCAGGTTGCACAAGCATTTATACTCGTAGTACTCTACACTTGCATATCCTTTTTGTAACTATTATTTTATGTAGTCCCAGTGGTCTCTGGCAGCATTAACCCTCAGCCACCGTGAATTAAGGCATTTCCTCCTCAACAAACCACAGCTTCCAGTGCTTTGGCTGCTACTTTGGCTTGCGCTGTGCTACGGTTCAGTTTGGTTCATGTTAAACTCCATCACAGGCTGTTTACTCAACCATCCAGGCACACGCACAAACACTCATAGCCCATTTACACCTTCCAAACCACAGAACAGGGCTGAGTTGGACGTCTGCTATTTGCATCCTGGATGACTGAAACCGTACGGTAGCAACATCATCAACCTGTATTTGTGTGGAAGAGTGAGGTTCAGGTTTTTACTGTAAAATGTTGTCGAGTTGTGTTGGTCACCATTCTCATCTGGCATAGATTAGCATCGTTTTGGGTGTTTTAGGTGAGTTTAAGGAAGGCAACTCTAGTTCAACATAATGGTTTTTCCATCTTCAGCGGTTAACATTTTATAAATGGTCTTATCATGATATTGTTAAATCATGTTTTTCGCTATTTTTTTACTAATTGTCAACAAATCCCACAAAAATATCAAAACTAACAATTAAAGTATATTGTCTTTATGTTTTTAATTATACGTTTGTTGTCCCTTATTACTCACTACTCTACCCTGTCATTCAGCCCCAAGCCCATTGGCTCTGAAAAAGTATTTTCTTCAAAGGAATAAAATCATAATAAATCGTAGTATAACAGTAACAGTTTATTGCTTTGATTACATTTATTAAACCATTTTGTTATTTTGCATACGTTTTCCATATAATTATATATTTCAGTATTGTTGGGTTAAATACCATATCCTATCATGGTACTGTGTATGCCTTCTCACTGTAACACTGTCATGGTTTACTTTTCTTATAAACAGGGCCTGTTTATTCTGTAGCTTTTTTGGATACTCAGTCATAGCTTTGGGGTCTCTGCATGTGCAACAGTGATGCTGTAAGTCAGCCTCTATTTATGGAGGTAGTGCTGTTTTTCTAAGGTAAAAGCATTTAAAAAGTGAACAAATATCAAGCCATTTAGAGACCGTGGTACATTTAACTCCCCAGTGTTCTTCTGCTTCTAATCTGCACCAGATGGGACAGATTTCAGTAAACTGAGCTATAGAGCAGTACATAAACAACACTGCTTTCTTGCTGCCATTGCTGTAAACATGGGATATGCAACATTTTGATGACTGATCACACAATTACAGCTGTGATTTTGCACAGGTTACCAGTTTTAGTAGTAATGTGTCACATTGAAATGTTGCTTCTAAATGTAATGAATACGTTGGGGCTGTGATCAGAAAAGGGAGATGTATCATATAACAGACTTAGCTGAGTGAGTCAGAGCGCTAGCAGGTAATTATCCTCTGTGCTACCTTGGTAAACTAACAGGGCACCACCTGGCCCTCCACCATTCAGTGCCCTCCGTCTGCTCCCATAGGAGCTGCCACACAGTTTGTCTGCCAGTGCCCTTGCGTTATAGCATGCGTTAATAGGAAGGTAATTGAGAGCAGAGAGGGGAAGAAATGTGTAACCGGTCAATTAGTTTGGATTTATTAGAGGCTTTGACGTTCAGACAGCATTGTGTCACCAGCTCACACACTCATGGCCGCATGCTCGGAAGCAGTTGTGTCACACTGTAGTCACGCCAGAGGCACGCAGCTTTAGTTTTTATAGCCGATAGCAGAGAAGCGGAGAGGTCGTTTCAACTGAATAGCTCCAATATCTCTCTTTTAAAAAAACAAGACTAGTATCTCCTGTTCATTCTCTCCCCTCCCTCCTATATTGCTCCTCACATTCCTCTTCACAGTGGGTTGCCCATGGTGCTGAGGCTAATGCAGATGTTTCGCTCTGTCTGTAGGCCAAAGCAGCTGTGTAGAGAAACTTTATATTTTCAAAGTCCAATAAGTCCACTCATCTCGACCTCCACCATCAAGTCTGGCCCTGTCTCCAATCTGTCTCGCACGCATGACCATCTGATACCAAATTTCCCTCCCTACCCTCCTAAACCAACAGTATTGATTATCAGTATGGCCTCCTAGTTTTAATTAGTTAGTTATCCTATGTTCCCAGTGGTGTTGTGTGGTGTTTAGTCTCCAACCTCCTGCTCTGGCCCTCACCTCCAGGGGTTTAAACCTCCCGTGCTTCCAGACATAAAACATTTCAACACTTTCTCAAGTTCTTTTGTGTGTTTTTCCACTCTCCACCTCTCACTCACACATACACACATGCTAACAGACACACACTCATACACACACTTTCTCTAAACCCCAAACACAGCTTGCCCTTTCCCTCTACCTCATTCCTCAATTCTGTCTTCATAAATACTCACACACTCATACTTGTGTCCACTGTTGAGTTGTTGTAATGTGATGGATTTGTCTGTGTTGGTCTCTCCATCTCACACTAGAAGCTGCTTCCCCAAATGTGTTCGTGAAGACTTTTCATCACATGAGAACCAAAAAATTAAACACAAGTGTGTGTGTTGAAGGCCTTCAATTCCTCTGTGTGTGCAGCCTGTCCGTGACACCTAGTTTGCCTTTTCCCCCTCCCGAACATGTATGTTATCGCTTCTGTATACACTCCCAG